GGATGCCGCTCGACGCACTATGGCGCCGGTGGTTCCCAACCACGTCGAAGGACGTATGGCGGGAAAAAGTTAGGTTGAGAATGAGCTACGCACTGCTTCTGATTTTATGCCATGAGGCGTTTTAATACACACTTAATGCCTAATTAACTAAATACTGAATACAAATGTTGATTAGAAAGTAGAGACGTGATTGCGCGTGTAAGTCGGCTCGGATACCGGCATCGTGTCGCGGAGTTACAATACTAGAACTATGAAAATACACTCTAAGAATTTATCTGACGACGCTAATAATTATCGCGGACATGAATAATGATCGGTATCGGCCTCGCGGAATACACAAAGTAATTCGGAGCTTTAACGTCCGAGTTCTAACTTACTGACTATCGCAGAGACTTACACGAGGTCTGCACGCGGCACGCCATGACGCCGGAGAGAGAATGGGAAGAGTCATGGAAAGAACGACCGTATCAGCGTCGCGACGCACGCGCGCAGCGCCGCAGCTAACGTTCGCAGCGCCGCAACTAACGCTCGCAACGCCACAAGACCGACAAAATAAAAACAAACTTAAGGAAGAAAACATGCAGAGATATGTGACAGGAAAAGAGGAACCTATGATAAAGTTTAGAAGAAGATGGAGGAAAATATAAATGGAAAGAAGGATGGAAAAGATGAATGAAAACATGATGGGACAAATCGAATAAATGAGGAAGGAATGGAAAGAAAGAAAGCTGGAGATGAAGGAAAGAAGAAGAAAAGATAAAGAAAAATACAACTTAGAAAGAAGAAAACTGCAAAGAAGAATAGAAAAATTAGAATGGGAGAGCGAAAAGAATGATAGAGGAAGGCGGAGAAACAACATAATAATCAGAGGCATAAACAAATGGAGAGGAAACAAGATGGAACAGCAGGTTGTAGAATTCGTTAAAGAAAATTTGAAATAGAGATGAAAGTAAGAAAGGCGTTTAAGGCATAGGACAGGGAGAACAAGTGCATCATAATAGCGAAAGAAGCTAGAGAGCTGGGAAGAAAAAAAAGAAATTATGATAAGAAAGAAAGAGTTAAGTGCAGAAATATTTATAGATAATGACCTAACAAGAAAAGAGAGAGAAATGCAAAAGCAGTTGAAAGAAAAAGAGAAAAAAGAGAAAGGAAAACAATGTGAAGGTAAGCTATGGTAAAATTTTTGTGAAAGATAAATAACTACTTCGGATGAAAGATAAATAAGGCGCTTCGGATTGTAATGTTATTTAATATAAACCGTCTTGTTTCCTATCTTATTGTTTATAAACGCGCGCCGAAATAATGCGTTATTCTCGATACATATCGGTTATTGCGAAAAATTATTGCTAAGGTCTCGGTAGTCTAAAGGCTCAGGACGCTCGCACGGAATGCAAGAGATCCGAGTTCGACTCCCGGCCGAGGCAGTATTTTTTCGCAATAAGTTTATTACAGTTTTTTAAGATTAATTTGGGGAATTTTTGGGGGGATTATTACATTTCAGATTAATTGCGTTAATGTCGACAACCATATCGACACGTAATTATTATTTCTGAAATTAATTCATTCGTTTGAATAATATATATATTAGTTCAACATCTTAATACTTAGACCATAGTGGCGCTTCGGATTTTAATGTTATAAATAACTACGCTGAAATGAGAGAGAGAGAAGAATAGAAGAAGATAGAGGAGGAAGAAGAAAATAAGAAAAGGAAAAGAATAGCGGGGAAGAGGCGAAAAGAGGATTAAAAATCTGTTTTTGGAACATTGCGGGACTGTCTAATAAATATGAGGAAATGTGGGAATATCTGGAAGAATTTGACATCGTGGGATTAGTGGAGACATGGATAGACGAAGAAAGGTGGGAGAAAATTAAAAATAGATTGCCGAAAGACTACGAGTGGAACTATGTGCCGGCAAAGAAAGATCATAAAAAAGGAAGAGCAAAAGGTGAGATAATCACTGCAGTGAGCAAGAAAATAAAGAATATAGAAGTTAGGAAGAATATAGAAATAAGCGAAGCAGCGATGGAATGTGAAATTAATTATAATGGAAATAAATGGAGAATAATAACAGTGTATAATCAAGAGGTAGAAAAAACAATGGAAAGGTTAATGGAACATATCCAAGAAGAAGAGGAAGAGTATTTAATAATAGGAGGAGATTTGAATGCAAGGACAGGCAGTGAAGGAGGATCGGTAATAGAAGAAGAAAATGAAAAGAGAAACAAGAGCAGGAAATCAATAGGAATAAAATAATAAACAAAGAGGGGCGTAGACTAATAGGAAGGATAGCAGAGAGAGGATGGAAGCTTCGAAGAAGAGGGAGGATGGACATATAGAGGAGAGAGAGAATTTTCTGTAATAAACTACGTGAAAGGAAATGATGGAGTAGGCGAAAAAATCAAAAGGATAGAAGAAGGCAACAGGATAGAGTCAGATCACATCCCATTAGAGGTAGAACTGCGGTTACCGCAAATAATGGAGAAAAAAGGAAAAGACGGAAGTGAAAATAAAGAGAAGGACGGAAGAGGGGATAAAAAGTTATCAAGAGAAGTGTAAAGAATGGAGGAGCACACAGAAGGATACGGGGAGCATTTGGATGGAGATAAAAGAAAAGATTAAAAGCGTGATCAAGAAAAATAAAAAGAAAATAATTCCATTGAAATTAGGAAAGAAAAATTGGTATAATAAAGAATGGAGAGGAAAGTTGAAAAGAAAGTTAAGAAAAGAATTGAGAGAACTGAAGAAAGGAAGAATTAGCAGGGAAGATTATGTAATAAAAAGGAGGAATTATAAAGAATGGTATGAAGCCCAGAAGAAGAAGCATGAGGAAGCAGAAGATGAAAAGATAAAAAATATAAAAAGTGAGAAAGAGGCATGGAAATATATAAATAAGTACAGGAATCAGAGGAGCCAAGCAAGGATATACAGATGGACAGTTGAAGGAATCATTTTATGGTGCTAGGGGACATGCGGAAGAAAACGACTCTGAGTATGGAAAGTGAGGAAAGTGAAGAGGAAAAGGCAGGAAGAGAAGAAGTAGATGAAATTGCAAAAGAAGAGTTAATAGAGGTGTTGAGAAAATTAAAAAAAGCAAAGTCTCTGGGAGAAGACGAGATAGAGAATGAGGCATGGAGGTTTATTGTCCAAAGAAATCGGAGAAGAATTCTGGAAAATGATTAACAGAATATAGAAAGAGGAAGGAATACCATTAGATTGGAACAAAGACTTAATCTGTCCTACAAAAGAGGAGAAAAAAAGAAATTAAAAACTATAGAGGAATTACAATACATTAATGGACACAGCAGAGAGCATAAGATTTACGCGACGATCCTAAACAGAAGACTTGAAAAAGAAACGGAAGATAAAGGAGATTGTCTAGAAACCAAGATTGAAAATGAATCAACCAGTAGCGACGAGCAATACCTAAGAGTGCGGAAGAGTGAGGGGAACACTGATCCGCAATCAGGAATAACGATGGACAGTAGACAGGGAGCATAACCTGGAGGATTCGAGGATTGGGATCAACGGGATGAGGGAGCCGAGAGTTGCGAACCCTATCATTTGATGTAGCCCGAGCTACAGGAAAACAATTCGCGGTATTCTATGTCGTATCACCGTAGTGAGCGCGAGGGAGCGCGATGAAGGAATGTGCAATGCGCGAAACAATGCCACCTAATTCAACCAGGGGTGTGGAAAAACTGCAGGTAATAAGAAACGGCGACAATTCAAGACATTAGTATCGTCCAGATATTGAGATTTGCGCGTCGCGCTTCGAAATGTAAGGACATGTTTCTTTCTGCGTTTCGATTGCAACATCGATAGCATGCTGTTTGTTGTTACTTTATTTCTGTGATCTCATGCGCGAGTCACCTTGTCTTTTTTATTTTCCATCCATTTTTATAGACCGTCCATATTTGTATAGACCGCACTTCCTGGTCTATATTAAGATGAACGAGGCTTCAGTCTCGGGATCAGTGATGGAGGTCGAGCCCGGTTAACCCCCCCCCCCTCTTCCTCCTCCCCTTTCCTCCTGTTTTTTTCCTTCTACAAGCAAAAGTAAGTTGAAATTGCAATCCTAACTTTGGCAAGAAAAGCTCCCTTTACGATCTAGTGAGGAAAAAAATTCGTCAGCTTAAAAAATTGGAAGCTTCTTTACAGAGTGAGCGCCTCCCAGGCACTACACTGTACTACAAGCTTACAAGGAGGTCATCATCACCTAATGAGGTTCACAACTGTTATGGACCTTTCTTTCTCAAAAGAGGACTCTGTACTATCTGCTAATAAACTTCTTCCTAACTCCTGTGAGACTAACAACAATCCATCTCTTCGCAAAAGGCTATGCTCTGAGACCTTAGAGAGAGAGTCTGTCGTCAGTAAGCAGGGCAGAAGTGACAACAAACAGCCTCTAGCACATCTGGCCATGCCTCTCAACTTGACGCGACCAACTATATAAACAAAGAATAGAATAAGAATAAGAATGTGTCTTTCGAAAATTTTTATATCTCCTCTGACTTATCACCATTTGCCATTCATGTACATTCGGCTACAACGGATACGCAAACCATACTGCATCCACTGCATGTCTGTCGCATTATCTCTTAGATTGCATACAATGACATTATGAAAGTCATAAGATTGGCAGGGGTAAGATTCTTGTAGATCTCAAAACGTCTTCGGCTGCTAATAATCTCGTCAAATTCTCTACATTATAGAGCCTCAAAACTTACATACCAATTTACCGCACTTTACGCACAGGCATTATCCGTAACATTCCTGTTAACATCGAGGAAGATTTTGTCAAAAAACACTTGGTCTCTCAATGCAAGATTATCGAGGTTAGCCGTCTCATGCGCAGATCCAACAAGAACGGAAAATCTGAAATTATACCATCCAAGTCAATGTGCGTCAAATTTGCTGGTCAGTCCTCTCCAAGTATGTCTCCTTGTTTCACATCAAGCATGCTGTTTTCGTCCCTAAGATGCGCATCTGTTACAATTGCTACAGAGCAGGACATATTAGTAAAGCCTGCAGAAGCAGTGCCAGATATATGCGTTGTGGCGTGACCTCTCATACTAATACTCAAGATTGCAATCTTAAGGACGTGCCTCCAGGTGCATCAATTATAACGGCGGACATCTCCCTACTTCCAATGAATGCACATTGGTTATCAAGCAAAAGAAAATTGTAGCCTTAGCGGCTCAAGAAAATATTTCCTTGCTCGAAGCCAGAAAGAGAATTTCATTTGAACTCCCGACATCTGAACGAGATATCAGATTCGATTTTGACAGCTTTTCTTCTCTGAAAACTAATTTTCTTCCAAGAAAACTAATTCGGTTTCGCAGAGCGAAAATATGGATGGCAACAGATGACTCCCTTGAATTCTGAACTTGCAAATAACTTATTAATGAAGACCATTGCTAGTGTTGCTACTTCGAGTCTGAGAAGACCCTCCGTACCTTCTGGAAAAAACTTAATTGAATCTGCCCTCTCCGTATACTCTTACTCAAGCTCAGACTGAGCTTAATGATTCTCCACGTGACTCCAGAAAAGATATTCTCCTTTATCGTAATGGGCGCATCCCCTCACATTTGATGGGCGCATCCCCCTCACTCTCACTGGCAATGGCGTTGCG